CATACTCTTGTCTAAATATGATATGTAGTGTTCTAAAGTACGGTCCAGGCGCCCGCGTATACAGCGTCCAGACGCTATACAGTAGCTGGTCGTACCGTATTTATGTTATACGTAGTTTTAATGAAAACAAAAAAATTAGATTTGTGTATACAATAATTAAATGATCGAATATACAGTTTTGACAAATATATTTTTTAAAAATTTCAAATAAAACTATGTATTTGACCTTTTTTGCAAGAGTATAACTGATATAATTATATTTTTTATTATTTAAAACAATTTTCAACTATGTCATTTTACTATTTGAATTAAAAATTACTATGTTATGTTAATTATTGAAGTTTTTTTTGGCCGGAATTCATGATAATATTTTTCTATTATCTATTGAAACAAATATTTTGTATATTTATATATAAATATGCAAAAATATCCACCGTATATACCCCGCATAAACATCCGCGTATACGTCTACGCTATACGGTGGTCTACCACGCGACTAGTGTATAGCGTATTTTAGAACACTGATGATATGTAAAAGGGTTGCATACGAAACACAAGGAAAGCTCAAAACTTGAAACACTAAACTTTCAAACTAAACCCCTTAGCCAAAACCTATTATCGACGTGAATTACAAAAGAAAAAAAATATACTGTAAACTAAATCCCTGATAAACAAACTAAAAAGTGACTTTCTAAGACAGCATCTTCATCAACAACAATCCCCAGAGAATCAAAAATCAACAAACAAGATTATAATACAGCTACAAATGTTGGCTTATTTACTTACACTGACCCAGAATCATTAGGTTTTCTCCACAATGCTCATTTTGGTTCATTTCAGAACCAACCCAAACTAAACTCCAATGAGTAATTACCGTGCCGCTCCAAGTGCTAAGTGCTAACAAATGTTCCAAGAGCCTGAACAACCGGTTCCATTGCCTAATTTACAGTCATGTCTCTCCAGATAGTGTGACCAGTCAATTTGTTCACAACTTCCAAATTGCTTGTGTGTTCCTCTACTAGATTGCTCTCAATTCACAAACCAAATCATCAACCCGTAAGCCTCTTCTTGCCTACATCTTAAAACCAAATAGAAGAAAAAAAATTCATAAAACAACCACAAATACAATCACCAATTAGAGCTGCAATACCCAACATAAACCTGAATTCTCACCAGTGGAAATCATTTGCATCTTGAGTTCCTCGACTGCATCGAAAATCCCATGAGCATCATAGATTTTGATCATAGTGGCAAAAGTGATCTTATCAGGCTTGCATTTCCTCTCCTCCATTTGTATGTATAGTTCCTTCATCGTAGCCAAATCACCAGCCTCACCGTAGGCATTGATTATGCAGTTGAAGAACGGTGTATCCAGTACCACGTCTGAATTCACAATTTGCCTCAATACTGAATCCATCTTAATGACAAGACCAGCTTTATTATATGCGTCAACAAGAGAAGAATAAGTAATAGAGTTGGGTTTCACTCCTTGATACTTCATTTTCCTGAATACATCATCCATTTTCTCGATTCTTCCAGCTTTTCCAAACGTCTCGATCACGATATTGTAAGTGACAGTCGTTGGGGAGAAGAATCTTTTCTCCATGAAATCAATTACCCAGCTCATCTTCTTATACATTCCAGCTTTTCCAAATGACCGGATCAGTATGTTAAATGTCTTGATGTCTGGTTGCACTCCCATCGCCTGGAACCGATCATACCAGCTCTCCATCTTCCTCGTGTTGCCACTATTTCCATACGAACCAATGATCGAGTTAAACGTGAAAACATCTGGGAGAGAATCTCCATCCTCGATCATATCAGCCAGAACATTTTCCATCTCCTCAAACAAACCAGCTTTTCCATACCCATCAATAATAGTATTGTAAGTGACTGTGTTGCATCCAACTCCAAGATACGACATCTCAAGAACGATGCGTTTAACCATATCAAACCGACCAAGTTTGCAGCAGCAACCGATGAGAACAGTAAAGGTGAACACATCTGGCTTGCAATCACTTACCGATTTCATATACTCAAGCGTGGCAAACGCCTTGTCTAGAAGCTCGCTTTTGCCATAAACAGCTAAAAGAGATGTATACACATCAATGGTGGGTTTCAATCCTTCAGACAACATGACTTCGAAAAGTAAACTGGCTTGCTCAGGCTGTTTGCAATTCCCAAGCACTTTAAACACCTTTGTGTATGTTTTGCATCTTGGTTCATACCAATGCTGCTTCCTAAGAAGATGGAAAATCTATAAAGTAGAGAAACAGGACAATGAATTCTTCTACTGAACCTTATCAAAATACGGTGTAATGACAGATAAAAGAAATAACGATCCTTGTACCTTGAGAGCAGATTGCCATCGATTCTCTCTTATAGCTTCATCAAGTGCTTCAAGAACAGTTTTTGGCTTCAAAGTATTGTACTTTTCCGAGTTGGCTTTCCTCTCGACTCCTCTAACAGCAGCGTCTTCTCTCAGAATCCGAGACAATTCTTTCTTAGGATCTACTCGATGTCTTGTTGAGATCAGTCCAGAGCTCATTTTCCCTGTACGTTCGTTGGGGACTTTCGTCGAACACTTTGTCGGCGTCATTAAAACAGAGGCTACATGGCGAAAATAAACAGGGGATGATATATGTTTTTGAAAAGAAAAGCATTCATTGGCGTAAGACAAACGAGTTTCGTGAACATGCTGTTGTAATAATGCCATAGAAGAAGTATGCGAGGGAG